AAGGAACCTTCAAATCTTACAACACCTCACCGCGAGCTCCTATGGCACAGGCGCAATCAACAAAGCAACTCGAAGTTGCCCACTACCAGTTCTGGTCTTCAGCGGAAACATTTGAAAGTGGGAAAAAATTTCGGAGCTTCTCAATGGAAACGTCCATTCACAGGATGTGAGCGAACTTTTCAAGTTCAACTATCTACTCAACGCTCGCAAGAAGAATGCGCTCGAGTCGGAGAAAAGTTTCAATTAACACCTAACAACTACGCCAGACCGTAGAGTTACTGAAAAACGAGTACGGTAGTCGGGAGGAGCTGATGTGCTGTTCGATTGATTGGAAAACTGCCAACTAAAGTCACAATACTTGCGTGATCATAGAAGGCAATTTCCGAGCAGGGTCGGTCCTATCGTTGCTACTTTTTGGATTTTTTCTACGACCCCCCCCCTTCATGGGCGATTTGGTACGACCCCCCTGTGTTAGCTCAAGTGGTGATAAGATTACTTAAACAATAATAATCATATGAATTAAAACTTTTTTAGACAAGAATGCTGAATTTCGGTTCAAATTTCATAAAAGACGAGTTAACATTCCGAAAAACAGCGTAGGCATGGAATTAGGACATAAAGTCATTTATGATACGGACCTCATGGCTGAGGGCTAAAGGTTTGACAGGTTTTTGACAGGTTACGTTTCTGTGGTGGATCGCGCCCTCGGTGACCGCAGTGGGGCGCGTTTGTTGAAGGGGAACAGGTGTCGAAAGGGGAAATCGAGAAGTAGAAGAATTTTTCCTCGTGAAATTTCAGGTTCCTCGGAAGACGGAGGTGGATTTTGGATCACCCGTGACGGTCATCCTTCTTAATTATAGCGGATTTGTTCTTGAACAATCTGAAATGATTAATTTATTGAACAAGAAAGGAATTTGCACTACAATTTTCACCTTCCCCTTTTAGAGCTATAACTTTCTTCATATTCGAGCTTTCGCGCCGGAGTTATTTGATTTAAAAAATTCAACTCATTCTCTCTCCAATCATGGCTGAAATTTGAGCGAAAGCTAATTTAGTAAAAATTTAGCACGTTGAAACTTTTTTCTGTGCAAACGCGACTTTTCAAGCTTTAAACGACCATAACTTCCTTCAAATTCATTTATTTGGGAAGCTGAACCCGGTATGAGAAACTACAAGATTCAAGCTTCCTAATAAGTACCCAAAGGTATTTTAAAAGCGAGTAATTCAAAAATTAGTTCCGTTGCTACATTTTAGGGGGTTCGCGGAACTATTTTTCTGAAACCGCGACTTTTCAAGCTTTAAACGACTATAACTTCCTTCAAACTCATTTATTTGGGAAGCTGAACACGGTATGAGAAACTAGAGGATTCAAGCTTTCTAAAAAGTACCCAAAAGTTTCTTAAAAGTCAGTAGTTCAAAAATTAGTCCCGTTGCTACATTCTTTTTGAAGGGCATTTTCCAAGCCATTCTTTCAAGAAAGCGGGTTTTTTAGGTTTCACTGCCCGTAACCTTCAGGGAAAACGAGATCGTGCTGACGATAGGATGTGTCAGAATGCTTTGTGCATGTGCTTGCACTGGTATCCCCTGTCTTGGTGTGCGCCACGCCTCGGTCGCACTCCTGATTCGCTGATTCATTTGGAAGGTCATTCGGAAGTAAGGGGTTTGTAAACGCTCTAGCATCAATAATCTTGCGTAAACGTAATGTGCTGACTATTGTCCATGTTGTCTTAGGCAATACTCCAGCTACACTTTAGTTTCAAATGTGGTTACGACCCCCCCTCTGGGTCCATCCAAGTACGACCCCCCGTTGCTACTTGTAGCAACATAGGGTTGACCCTGTTTCCGAGCAGATACACTGCGTTGCAAAAATATAAATCCACCTGGAGAGTTCTTGAAAATTCGCATGATAGGGTGTTTCTGAAAAAGCCTTTAGAAGAAAAATGTGCTTAATATAAATACAATTTCGAGTGTAAACACCAACTTCCATTTCAAAAACACAAAATTTTTTTATTTTGTTTTTTAGGAAAGGGCCACTCTAGCGATTGTGTAAAAATATAAATCCACTCCATGTTTCCCGGTTGAACTTCATTGTTATTTGGCGTTGATTTTTGGGATGGCTTTGTGTCTTCAACTGTGCCATACTAATTTTCCGTCGAAGAGTGCTCTCAGAGTTCTTCTAAAACAGGCCAAACGGTGACTTTCAAGAAATTATGCTTTTCTTAAGGTTGAGTTCCTGAGCACCCCTTGAAAGTATCGGCTGCTTTTCCCATAACACTACGTTCACCGTAACCGAAACGCGAAGAATAGGGTTCAGTCCTCTTCTGAATTCCACATGCTGCAGATTCTCGATGAAATGCTCAAGAATCACATAAGCGGGGCTCAAATCACGCGCGATTTGTCTGCATGGCAAATCTCCCCACTCTTTTGCAGATTTCGCTTTTTTTTTCGAAGTCCGATAGCGGTGTTACCTCCGTCATCACCTAAGAAAGAGGAAGTGCAAACTACCTGACAGTTACGCCAAAAAACAATGAAGTTCAACCTAGAAACATGGGGTGGATTTATATTTTTGCACAATCGGCAAAGTGGCCCTTTTCTGAAAAATGAAATAAAAAATTTTCGTGTTTTCGAAGTGGAAGTTGGTAATTACACTTGAAATTATATTTATATTGAGCACATTTTTCTTTCAAAGGCCTTTTCAGAAACACCCTAGCATGCGAATCTTCAACTTTCCAGGTGGATTCATATTTTTGCAACGCAGTGTACAAGCTATCGTAGAGCAGCTAAAGCAGAGAAGGGAGCACGTTGATAGCCAATGGCTTGTGAAACGATTTCTATCTAAGTTTCTAAAGCAAGTGCAGAGAAAAGTACTAGTGAAGAAGCAAGCAGCTGGTCAAGAAAGCTGCTTCAAAATGGAATCGTTACCCAAGCATTTGAAAAAGACGATCATAAACGAAGAAGTGATGCTCATTTACATAGGAAAGCCGCAATCATTCCACAGTAAGCGAGAAGTTCCAGAAAGGCGACCAAAACACTCATCGCGAACTTTCTCGCCCTCCTGCATATACTGCAATAGTAATCACAAGACCTCTAAGTGTAAGAAGTATGAAACACCTCAAGGAGGCGATGTGCAGGTATTTTGACCCCCTGAGGTAATTATTCTTCGCCTGTCGACGCTAGCCGACGTGATTTTTTTAGGTTTTACTGCTCGTATTTTCATGTATTGGTCTTACTTTGCCTATTTTCACATTTCATTTATACAGGGCGGAAGTGGTGTAGGGACAAGTGGCGCGCTCACCACGCGAGCGGTTCGTGGATCAAATCCTGGGTCGTGATTCGCCCGGGCCAACCAAGCCTTCCATCCCTCCGGGGTCGGTTAATTGGTACCAGGCTTGTCTGGGAGGATAAAAAAAACACTGACTTGAACATCGGTGGCCCCCGCAAGTCATTGTATAGGCCACATCGCATTCAAACAGCCACTGCGAATGTACAAATGGAAGTAGAATGCGTGCCGCATCAAAAAGGGATTGATCAACGGCAAATGCTTTATCCTTTATCATTTATACAAGACCATTTAGTTGTGAACTATACTATACATTTTCCCATATGTTCTTGGTTTTCTGCATATCAGCCCCATCAGCTCGCGAATTTCTACAGCAGCGCAAAAAAAACCGTGAGCTGGGGCAGGTGGTTCTGTTGAATTCAGCATTGCGGTCCAAGTTACAAGTTATCCCAATAAACCGTTGGAAACTTGAGACCCTCGTGGCATAAAAAGGAAATGAACCATCGAATTCGCTGCATTATACGAGTTGTGAAAATAAACACTGTGAGCACCCAAGTTAACACGTTGGCTGCCGTGTGGTATGATGTCATACCACAACCTTTCGGCCACGTGGGACCGTGTGACATGATGTCATGTCACAGTTTTTTTAAGCTGGTTTTCAAACATTTTAGGTAACTTATTTACGCGATGTATGCGCCATACTAAGGCATTGTTACAAAAGGCGTGGTTCCTGGAAAGAAGCTCTGGTTGATGGGCTATCGAGTTTTCCCAAAAGTGTTTGAATAATGATCAAATCGCAGGAATCGCTAAAATGGACAAAATCGCATAATCGGAGACCTACCACACAAGAAAGATAACAAGTACCTACTTCCTGAGAAAAAGGAGCTCTCGTGGGACCGTTTGACATGATGTCAGAACACAGTCGCGCGGTCAAAATAATGCGCGCGGTCCCACACGCCAGACAAAACGTAGCGCGGTCGCCAACGTGTTAATGAAAACACCTTGCGTCGTCAGACGTCGTGTGCACTAGATGAAGGACTGGAGCGCAAGCCTAGATACTGCCAGTATACTATCGGTAACCATTCGGATGTCCCGAACGCAAAGCGATGTCCTCATGGACATCGCACTTACCAACCGACCCCGATCAAGCAGCACTCTCGACAATCTGCAAACCCCGATCAAGCAGTACGCCTAACAACCTGCGACACTTCCTTTGCAACCGAACGGGTGGAATGTTCGGTGTCGCTCATCACTGGAGATGAGACTTCAACCTACCACGACAGAAACGAGCGCCTCTCATGGCTGCCCCGAGGTTAACTAAGGGCCGAGGGCGACACTCAGAGGATGACATTCTCGTTTTCAAAAAAATGGCAGGGCACTTTTTTCCGATAAGTGCTGAAGAGCAAAAGCTGACGCCTCATTGCGAACTTCTTCAAGTAGACACAGCAGCTCCGAAAAAAATAATCAACGAGTACAACTCGTAATAGCGGCTTTCCACATGTTCCACATGTATGCGTGAACAACGAAACGTGACGAATGACAAGACCAATTACAACTTATCGACTGGCTAATTCAATTATTACGGTCATGTATTTTGAGAACAATAATGCTATGTTCATGGTTTCGAACCCGAGCACTGCTTCTACAAGCAAACTTTCCGAACTTTCCAACTTCCAACCTAAAACATCCTGGTGGGAGGCCTCCAGATGTCCAGCAACAATTACTGGCCATGACGCTGAATAAATGATGTATTGAGTGTAAAAAGAAATTGGAAAAACTAAAACTTAGAGCAAAAGTGTTGCAATGTGGCAACGAATTGTAAAGCAACCCCATATGGACACAACGTGCTGTAAAACTCACTGCGTCGTAGAAGAAACTGTGCGATGAGAAGACGCAACATACCACAGGAACCTGAAAAACAGAAGTTAGGATGTAAAGATAACATTCCCTTCGAATGTCTCAAATGCAAAGGACGCTATACGGAGAAGATAAGACACCTTTCACGTTCGGCCCCATCAGAGTCGGCTAGCGCAAGTTTCAATGACCTCAAACAAGGGTTGGTTGAGAAACGGTTGTCCTTGTTGCTACAGTGCGTACCGAAAGTATGTGGACACCCCGGAATCTATTCTCAGGGGTCAGCTAAAGGCCATTACGTCATGAAACATCCACCATTCAACTCCTAGTGGTCAATAACATACAATGACATTTTCGGCAAAAGATTTCGTTTCAACTTAGCGAACTATTTTTTATGGAAAGATTTCTCTTTGTATCAAAATTATGTGGACACTTTTTGAAAAACGGCAATATCTTCCGAATCTGAAATGGGTAGGCCTACCAAGATTTCTAGTAAGTTGAGCCATTCTGTTTGGCATGCTATGAATGGGGTCTGGAAACATGTCTTGCAGATCTGTTCCCAATAGCAAATTTCACCGAAGTGTTAGATCACTTGTTCACGATACCTCTACGTTTTCAATAAAGATGAGGTCTGAGGAATACGCTAGCCGACTTGCCAATCAAAGCCGTTGCGTTTAGCATTTTTTCAAATGGAATGGTGTCAGGGACCTCCGTTGCAAAACAAGTGATTTGCGACGATGACTTCTCGAAAAAGGTTGTAGCCGGAACTCAAGCACCTCACTATAATCCTAGTTGTCTACCTAACATGTTGGCAAGCCAAACTTCAATGTCCTCCTCCTTTTGGAACCACCCCAGACCTTTGATGAACATCTTCCGAATTGTCTCCTCGAGCACATCCGCAGGTCCGACTAAAGTCTTTCCAAAAACCACAAGACCCACCCGAATAGTAAGGAATAAGCTTCTTTCTGCCAGTCGAGTTGGCCTATGAAAGAAATTTCCACAGAAAGTCTTTTACACTAATTTTACGATTTCCACGAAAGCACTGTCTGTGTGGGTTCAAATTTCATGTTGTGATCCTTTTTTTAGTGGGAATTCCAACTTTGCCAACCTGAACCCGCATTCATATACAAAGCCTTCTTCATCTTCTTTCGTGTCCTGTGCTCAATTGATTGAATGAGACACCGATTGGCCCTTTTTAAGGTCGAGAAGATCATTTATGCGTAAAGTTGAGTAGCACGAAAAGAAAAACTTGAAAAAATTAAAGCTATTCTTCTGCTGTTTTGAACAAGTAGCGATTGAGAGCAACCCTCAGTCAAGTTGAGCTTAGCATCTGGATTTCGGATTTTTCTTCAAACCTACGAGAACGCATGACTGGTTGACGTGCTATTTCGCAATAGCGGAAGGTTCAGAAGCATGGGGATCCCATTTCTGTGCTCGGTCTTCTTCAGAAGAAGTATTGCCGTGAAGAGGATGATGCCAGAATAAGTAACGAAAGGAGAAGTAAAAATAGGTTGGGAAATCGATGCAAAAACTTCATCTGCCTCAGGGTGTCCACATAATTTCGATACAAAGAAAAAAATTCCTATGAAAAATAGTTCGCTAAATTAAAATGAAATCTTTTGTCGAGAATGTCATTGTGGGTTATAGACCACTAGGCGTTGAATGGTGAAGGTTTCATAACACAAAAAGCCTTTAGCTGACTCCTGAGAATCGATTCGGGTGTCCACATACTTTTGGTACGCACTGTAGATTGGATACAAACAATTGGATTATGTTCTAGACAAAGCCTATATCATGCTTGAGTAGATTTTGGGTTTTGCTAGCAATTTCCTCTGGATTTCAACAATAGAAGGCTTCGAAGTTTATTCAAAAAAAAAACTTAAAAAATCTCGACTGCTTTCAGATGGTCCTCCGTGCGAAGAATCATTTCAATCTTATGAAAGCACTCAAAAGGCCAGCGGAATAAAAGAAAACAAACAGTTGGGGAGGGGAGAGAACTGGAAGAGAAAGTGTGTCAAGAAACGATGATCAACACATTTCACAACAACCATTGCTGCCAGAACATGGCTCCTGGGGGGATTTTCATTTTCTAATAAACAAAGCGTGACCGCAATAAGAGTGTTTGCCCTTTCAAAAAAAAAATCAGGAAACCATGCTATATACACGAAACTAGAACCTAAATATAATGTGTGTTCTATTTCAAAAAGTCCGAACCTTGGCCTCCATGGACAAGATAAATGCTCCTTTTTTGAATGGAAGCATGGTCTTCCCAGGATTACGAGTTCCTTCAGGATAAATCCAAACCTTCCGCTGTAATGCAACAGTTACAAGAAATTCGAAAAATGAGCTAAAAACGACTCACGTGATCTTTAATGATGGCATCTAAGGTCGAGTCAAGAGCTTTGTGTGCTTTTTCTTTACTGAAGCGATTTATCCAAATGGCATTGCACATATAAGCACACAGATTGAATCCCGGAAGATATTTGAGGCTACTCTTCAGCATCACAACACAGTTTTGCGGCCAGCAGTACGACATCCCTTAATCATATCGTATGAAAAGCTTCACGAGAGCAATCGTGGCGGGTGGAACAAGGCAAAACAAGGCGATCATCCGGTAAGGGGGCATTGTGATGCAACGTCTAATAGCTGCCCTCACCCCCACCCCCTGAACTGGCTTCACTCCCCCTGGCTCACGGGGTCCTGTACTTCGAGAAACCAGTGCGCAAGGGGGAGTGTAGGCAGTCTAGGGGGCGGGGGTGAGGGCAGCCACTTGATGCCCCCTTATTTGATGAGCGCCCAAAACAGTACGGTTTCTCAATATTAAGATTACTTTCGTGTATGCGCGCCAAATTTAAGCGCGCTGGGCTTCTGCTTTGGTTGGAGGCTAAGGTGAAGGATGTGGGGAGCAAGCTGACACCCACGCACTTTTTTATCGAATTTGTTTAAAAGACAACTTACTGCGAACTATACACATCACAGTAAGCTAGCATGCTGACACTGCCAGCGTAGCGACAAAAAATTCAAACACAACCTTCTCTACGGATCCCGGGGTGTGATGAGGTTTTTTTGAGTCCTTCCTGAATCTTCTACATGGCCGAACAAGAATATACTTGCTTCTTGTAAGAGCAATCAGCACAGAAAGTCAGCAATTCCTTCACTGATTTCTGCGCCCCACCGCCCCCCCCCCCCTCCTTCTCCCACCTACGAGCACTTGACATTACACTACAACGCTACGTCGGACGACTTTCAGTCAGTGTCAACCGTCACGTTGAACATTTCGGGATTTTCGCGACCCCCTAGCTCTCGAGGGGGTCCAGCTGCGACTCCCTGTTTTTGTTAATAAGAGTGCCAGACATGAATCCGTAGCGCCAGAAAGCGTCTGCGTTGCGGCGTCAGTCTTGGAGCGCGGCAGGTATCACCCGGGCGCTGGAAGAACGGGACGCGGCAACGGGAAATTTTAGAGGGGAATAACTTTCTTGGGACGTATTTTTTTGACTTGTTGAGGTAGATTTTGGTTGTGCCTGAGGTGCGCTTTCAGAGAACTACAGGGATTGCCTAACTCTCCGGAAAATACTTCGTTAGAAGTGGAAAACCCAAAATTCTAAGAGGGCGCACTTTCAACTTTGAAGGCCCATAAAATCTTTCGTATGCGACATTTTGGAAATCTGTAAAAAGTTTCAGAAACTTTAAATATTTCTCTAAAAAAAGTATAAAAAGTTTAGTGATTGCCCCCTTTTCAAAAAAATGTCCCTTTGGATCATTTTTCGTGCAAAAGCGAGTTTTTGGGCTTTCAGCGACCATAACTCACTTCATTTTCATTTCTGTGATGCACTTTTTTCATGGGGTGAAAGTACAGGACTTACTCTCTCTAACAAGTCCCAAGCCGATCCATTTTTCGAGAAAATCACACGTTCGAACATTTTGTTTTTTGAGCAGCACATGCGAGTTTTTGAGCTTTCAGCAATAATAACTTCCTTCAATATGCTTGTTGAGGAGGGACGAAGACATTTTTGAAGACTACGAGATTTCTGCTTTCTTATGTGTTTTACCATTGTCTTGAAGAATCGTCCTCAGAAAATTAGGTCCCGAAGAACTTTAATTTCAGCCCCGAGAAGTCAAACCTTTCATAGGGATGCATCCAGCTGTTCTTTACTCCTTGAGAAAACACTATGATTTGCCTAAAACTGAATCTCTGTACATAATAAATCGAATCTAGTGCGGTCTGCACAAGCAACTTGCCCTCGGATACGCCACGCACGCGCCTGTGGCTGGCAGTCCTCGAAATTGCGACCCCCTTCCGGCCAAAATACGACCCCTTCGTTCGAACAGTTCAAACGGATGGCTGACTCTGCTTCCAGTTCAAATGAAAATTCTGAACGAACTGGCTAAGGTTGGTGCTCTCGCAGGTTATCCTGTTTCCACAAAGTCTACAAGCCCAAAACTGTGCCGCATCAGTTTATTACCCATACTTCTTGAACGTTGACAGTCATTGAAATCATTGGTCGATACCAGTAAAGGGGCATATGATCTTCAGCAAGAAGAAATAGGCACGAACCACTTCGCTACCACTTTCATCAATTAAAAAAGTTGCCTTCCCATTTGAAAAGTGGGATCACTGAAGGCGGCACAACTTGTTGCCCACATGCCCTTCCCTTCCTCTATTCTTCTATCAGAATAGACCCAAAAACTACCACCCCGCTCTTGCCTCTTGTCTGTTGTCACTTGTCTAAGTCTTTGTTAAGGCAGCTTCCCGTAGGCATGTTTGTGCTAGCTTAAGCTTCCAGTAATTCACAGTACCGTCAACCATCAAGTACATGGAATGCTTCTCCAGTCATGCGGTCGAACTTCACACGTTTTGCTGCTGAAAGGGAAGCCCTGTCTGTCAATTCCCATTCTTCACTAGAATCGGAACTGCAGAGAGCGCGATGTCGCGTGGTAGCCTAACGCCACGTAGATTAGGCTGCTTTCATAGTCTGAGGTCCGTGCGGTCCGTGCCGTCCGCGCCGTCCGCGCGGACCGCTCGGACAGGGTGAAAAACGTCAACATGCTGTGGCGCACAATTGCGTACTTAGCACGCAGTCGGCGCCTCCCTCGGTCGATAACTCGATTTCGGTGTATTTTTCAATGTTGGTGAGTATGATGCGATAATGAGAAATCACTCAACTAACTTATCCTGCGGCACGCGCAGACGTTGTCAGCGAAAAAGCGAGTTCTAGAAAGATAGTTCATTTAAACAATCAGCAAAGCGCACTGATTAACTTACCGACTTACCGAAACATATCGACTAAGGCAAGAATGAAGAAGTCTCAACTGAAAAAACAGGAATGAACGCACCAAATATTCACAAACATTGAAAAATGCACGAAATGCACCGAAATCGGGGTATCGATCGAGGGAGGCGCCGACTGCGTGCTAAGCACGCAATTGTGCGCCAGAGCGCGTGTTGACGTTTTTCACCCAGTCCGAGCGGTCCGCACGGACGGCGCGGACGGCACGGACCGCGGACTATTAAAGCAGCCTTAGCGTTACGGGATGCATTTCTTAATCATCGGCGAACTGGATGAATGTATTTCGCCCATTCGGGATTTCTGCTGAACTGCTTTTCCAGTGCAGTATCACAAACGCTAACGAGGAGAGGTATCTGCCGTTGGAACGCTTTTACTAAATCTCGATCGGTTCGACCAAAGTGCTACTATGCGGCCTGAAAGTGGGATTTCCTCGAAATTTTGAGCCATTACTATTCCACCGAAGTCTTGCTGGCACACCAAAAGAACCATAATTAGCATCATTACCGATATTTTTAGAGAGGTTTGCTTCTATCAAGAACCTTCAGCTACTCTAAGCAACCATATGTAAGTGCATTCTTGGCATTGTTTGCTGAGAATGTGGTTTCATACACAACGTGACGAAATCCAATTCGCACGTAACTTGTTAACACGCCTAGTGGTGTTCCCGTAACGAAAACACGTGTTATATCCGTGCGCGCGTTAGTATCATAGAAACAGAACCCGAGTAAGGCTGCTGCGAAGCGACATCCGTTATGTAATGATGCCATATACCCGTGAGCTGACTTTCTTTACCTTCCCAGAGCGGAATTAGCTGAGAAGGGGAGCATGAAACCAATGGAACTGAATAACTGGATTCAACTGGATATTCCTTCGAATTTCAAGTGCAAATTTGCAAAAATTTCTAAAGCACTCACAAAAAAGGAAAGACCGTGCTTACCGAGTACATCGATAGCGCTTTGATGGTTAGCAATCAGGATAAACGCTTTGTCGCTCTCCAAGTAATGTTCCTTCCGAAGTATGAAGCGTAGCCGTAAGAACGAAGAGAACCATTGGAAAAGCGCAAACATTCTACTGGAATCAACTCAGTTAATCTGGTTTACCTTAACACTCAACAAGCACTGTAAAAGTTGGACTCGTTTCCACTCACTAATGATTGTTTGGCGTTCTTCCGAAGGGTAAACTCATAAACCCTCCAATTGTTCCGGCTCCCATGATAGCCATAAGGTAGAGGAAGGCTTTCATGTAAAATCGAAACGTCGACGAAATATACGTCAATATCAGTGCAGCGCATACTGCCGAAATCGTCAAAATACAGCAGTGACATAAGTAATCGCTCCCATCAACGTCCGTCATCTCTTCATATGAATTTGCAAATGGTCAGATTGGCCGTGATTTCAAACGAACTTGCCTGCGCATGCGAATAACGATTAGAGCACGTTATCGTCCGCTCACTTTTCGAAAGGGCGTCGAGCTCTTATTAAAGATTGGATTTACCGCATAAACATACAGCACCATTGCAAGGAAATTGACACGGGAAATTGTCAGAGAAGATCGTTTATTAAGCAAATGCTTCGAAAACGGCTCAAGTTGACACCAATTTGTGATAGAAATGATCCGCAAATTTCACATCAATAATCGTCAAAGATGGGCCAATGAAAAACGATTACGCATAAAATAAACAACCGAACAAATTGAAGTGATAGAATAGGGATGAGCAAAGGTTGGTTAGGCACTAAAACCACCATACTATTCTTGCAAATATTGTTTTTCATTAGGTACCTTTCCGCTGATGCTCTCACATCAATGGTATTCACAAGCACTGATCTACTATTGGTAGAGCAACTTATTTTTACGATTATTTATTGTTCTATTCAATTGTTCAGTTGAATGATTATCATTTATTCATTATTTTATTTCCTCATTGTTACGTTACATTAAAGCATTCGTTTGGGTACATGGGTTATGAAAGCCCGTAATTAAAAAGTGGACCTCTTCAGCAGAACCTTATTAAAGTTAGTGAAGTAAAACTCTGTGGCCGCGCTGTAAGGTCGATTGTAGATTGCTGCTCGCTTTCCCTATCAGTGTCGTTGAAAGGGCCGCTCGGAGGGGTTTGGTTCGCAAGAATAAGAAGCGTCTTTACGCTTCTCGCAATACCAAAAATTTTCGTCTCGGGACCCCAGCTCTACCTCTGATCATTAGTGGACCTAGGCTTCCACAGCGAAAAAGTTCTGCGCTGCGAAAGGCGAAAGAATTGCTACCTGTACTTGTGACTCACACCCCGTTCAAACGAGTTGAATTTGCGAACTTGTTCAGTGACTGGGATTCACTGATGGTGAACGTAAGCTAATAAGCATAACAGTTGCTGAAAACTGCTAGATGTGATAATTTTGCAAAACTCGGTAACATATTACAGTTTCCCTTACATAGTTAGTGGTTTCATTATTGTTGTTAAAGCATTTTACAATGAAACGCTCGAATTGTCTTCACGACAGGCAATTCTGCTGCTGTTGGATTTGAAGAAATCAGTCGCCAAAGCCTGTCAAGTTTTTATAGACGCTTGTTGTGATCAGACTGCATCGAGCCACATTTGGATATTGTTTTCAACTTTAAGGGTGGTGATTTTGATGGCCACAACAGAAACCTCTCGATCATTCAACAAATTCCTATGGCTTGTAAACACTTTGAGGCGCTCATTATGTAAGGGGGGGGCATCAAGTGGCTGCCCTCACCCCCCCCCCCACCCCTAGACACGCCTACACTACCCCTTGCGCACAGGTTTCTCGGGGGAGCGCGGCATACAGAATCGTTCGGGACCGGCGCCGCCGGGCGCGGCCACTTGCGCGGCGTCGTGACGCGGCACTTTTTCGATGGGCGCGGCAACAATAGACTTTTCGATTGGAGCGACAGATTTGCTGCCGTCCACATTAAGAAGCCTTTTGCCGCTGGCCCGTCAACTTTAACTTTTTATTTTCTTCTTATTTTTAGGCCCGCTTCATTGCTGACGGCTCGTGCCGTCTTAAGGGGTCAAGATCAGTAGTTTAATTGAAATTTCAGGTACGCGAGGGCGGAGGAGACGGCGCCCGTGGTGTGAATGAATTCTTAGTTGGTCAGCATATTCCTGTAATACAAGTTTCGTTACGGAATCATTCAAAAACCAAGAGCGACTCAGCCGCATTAACTGATCAAGCACATTCCCTTACCGGCTTCATGGCATCCGCCGGCCATGCTATGAGCCTAAAATGTTGAGGGGAGGAGTAGGGGTAGCCCCTGTGAGAAATCGAATGACGCTCAACTCGTCTACCACAGTCGCGACGTCGCGGCCGCGACCACAAGCGCAGGGCTCCGGACGATTCTGTTGCTACACACCCCGGAATTCCTCGACCATCGCTCTCCGTTGTGCGAGAGTAAAGCCGATGATGTAGGGGTGGAAAGCACAGACGGCTCGGGGTTGCGAGAGTGAATATCCGCGCGCGAGAACGCAAAGAATCAGGTGAAAATCTTCGACCTGCCGTCGAGGAATCCTCAAGCAATATTCACCCTAGGCGCGAGTGACATAACGACGACGGGGACGAGGCGCAGAAATCGCAAGGTGTGTGTGTGTGGTTGTTTGAGGTTTCGATTCCTATAGGCTCCCAAGTTATTTTTACGTGGTAATCATGAGAACGGCAATATTCCCGAAGTATAAGATCCAGCAACTTTTTTCGTAGAAGTGATTGGTCTAACGATCCGATCTGAGGCAACGATAAACAACGGTAGATAAATGAGTCTCCCATCGTCGGTTCTGATGGTACACCGGTACAATATCTAATTGTTCTTATTATTCTCGCTCTATATTTTTCTGACAACACAAAATCAAACAACGAAGAATGTTTGAAAATGCGATTTATTGCAACGGCTACCCGTAGTCAGCGAAAGGGTTTGATCAAAATTTTTTTGATGTGCTTTCGGCGATGTCCGCGTCTTGAACGGTGCCTCCGTCGCGGCTTTGGATTGTTAGCGTCGAAGCATTCAATGAGATGTGTTTCAGTGAATCGCCAATTCTGTTGGCATCCCAGAAAGTATGGCCAGGGTGTTTGGTGCAGGTAGGCGATGAATTGCCTGAAAATATTTATAAGGGAGAGAAGCTCATGAAGACTACAGCGAGAACTATGATGAAGCTAGTTGATAAGACAGACAAACCATCCGCTCTGTTCTCCGCGTGCGCAACCAAAATTCCGATCATGACCAGGCCCAAGATCAAGTAGAAGTGCGTGGTCGAAACGAAGCTCTAGATAGGCGTCTGCCGGAACTGTATTGTTCAGTATCACCTGTGTTGCGACCGCCTGAAAGGTCCGATATATTCGGGCCCTCGGGCAAACTGTATCTTCGAATAGCACAAAAAATTCATCTACTTTACATTTCTATCCCAGGTCACATAACATCAGAGTAATAAATACAACAGAAATACTGGAAGCAGCATCACACCATAGGTGATATTAACAAAACGCGCGATTTGACTTTTAGCCGTGCGGCTGCTTTGGCTATTATGGCGCGCAAGCGCGTCTCAGTGTCTTAGCGGAGTTTTTGGAAATAAACCCTTTGACGACCGTGTGGCCCGCCGGTGGGCCACACTTTCGCTCGGTGGCGACACGTTTTTAGGAATTTAACTTGGCATTTTTATGTTTCAGAACTACACAAACACATCATCGAATCCGAGGAATAATGTGCTGATTAATAATAGTGAAATTGTTGGAAAGTTAATGATTATTGACGAAAAAATTCAGAAAGAAGTGAAGTGACGCATTCACAAGGGCGGTCGTCAAAGGGTTAAAACTGAGAGCAACAAAATAAGAAAACTACGGTAATTAGGGAATCGGGACACAAGCGCGTCTCAGTGTCTTAGGGGAGTTTTTGGAAATAAACCCTTTGACGACACTTTCGCTCGGTGGCGACACGTTTTTAGGAATTTAACTTGGCATTTTTATGTTTCAGAACTACACAAACACATCATCGAATCCGAGGAATAATGTGCTGATTAATAATAGTGAAATTGTTGGAAAGTTAATGATTATTGACGAAAAAATTCAGAAAGAAGTGAAGTGACGCATTCACAAGGGCGGTCGTCAAAGGGTTTATTTCCAAAAAATAACGAAAACTACGGTTAATTAGATATCGCGGACACACGCGGGCGGCTCCAGGTCTTAGCGGAGTTTTTGGAAATAAACCCTTTGACGACCGTGTGGCCCGCCGGTGGGCCACACTTTCGCTCGATGGCGACACGTTTTTAGGAATTTAACTTGGCATTTTTATGTTTCAGAACTACACAAACACATCATCGAATCCGAGGAATAATGTGCTGATTAATAATAGTGAAATTGTTGGAAAGTTAATGATTATTGACGAAAAAATTCAGAAAGAAGTGAAGTGACGCATTCACAAGGGCGGTCGTCAAAGGGTTAAAACTGAGAGCAACAAAATAAGAAAACTACGGTAATTAGGGAATCGGGACACGGCAAGCGGTTTGTGAGCCCCTCTAAGTGAGGTAGTGTTACGATTACTGCGAAATCAGTGAACAAAGGAATGAACCAGTTGACATAGGATGTCTATTCATCTGCTAGCACTGTGATCCCTCACATAGATGGACCAGCCACCACGATTCTGAACGGATCACAGGTCAACGCGTGATCATTCGAAGTTCCAGCGACTTTGAGTGGAGAGACTAAAACTTTTTAGTTCGGCCATTCCATCCTAGTGAATAAACCGTCCTCCTACAATGCGTTCAATATCTGTTAATTCACTAGTCTCCATCCATCTTTTACGCTCTCCGGGCCGTTCTGAACAATTTTGTGAATTTTCTGTTCTAAATCCACCCTCCTCGTTGCACGCTCCACCGCCTATGTGGACTTCCTCACTGGTTTCTGAGCAGTATCGGATCTGAGTATGAGGATTTATAGAGAAGTCCGCCCATTCAAGAACTTTCCCACCGTTGTGGGCGGACCTCCGTTCCGTTCAATTGTGGTGTAAGCGTAAAATAATGTCAAGTAAAAAGCAGTGAAGCTCATAAGGAATAAGGTAGTGCAAAAACGGACAATTAGTCGATTATCGAATTGACGTCTTGTTTGCCAAGGTCCGGCTTCCTTTCGGCGAAGACCAAGCCCGAGCTCACCGTCTTCCCACAGCGGTTTACATACTGTAGACACTTTTGAGTCAGTCGACATGAAGGCCCTTCAAATAGTAGTTTATTTATGTAGGGTGAGCTGAGAAACAACCCTATTCTTTATGTTCCAAATAGTCCAAAGTCCAAGTAATAATAGTATTTTCTATGGCTAAATTTTGCCATCGTAATTTTAAATATAGAGTAATATCGAAAACACACTCACGCGTTCACATTTTCTTCGAGTGATTGGAAAGAGAGCAAAGGTGAGGGAAGAATCGCCGCGTGAATGGACCGTGAAGTGGGTAACAGTGTGATGCAAATCTAAAAACGATAAGCTAGAGCGCTATAGTGAGTTAAATTAATTTAGACATTTGAGGCGTAGATTACAACAAAAGGCAGCTATTGGAGATCGACGAAGAGATGATCAGTAGGGCAAGGATGACGAAAAAGCATGAGAATCGGTCGAAAGCCCAAGAAATGGGATCTTTTTTTCGCCCTTGATGAATGAATGCGTCTCGGCACTAACCTATTCAGCTTACGCTCTCTTTGCTAAAGCGGCTATGGCATCAGTAGGTGCCTGACAAGGTAAGGAGACCAGGTTGAAGTGGCCACTTGTAACGAGCCATACACCAATAGATGTGTTTTGAGTTATCAGTGATTGTATCGTGCAGGTGTGAAGAGCTAGCGAAGTGCTTCGAACACTGTGCGCGTCATTTGCAAATCACCGTCTCTGGCACCCGTAGCGCATGCGTCATGCACTTTCTTGCCAAATAGATGTAAATTTCGTGTTCAGCGCATCGAGCTGCCCCTTCAGACAACTTTTGGTCCAAATAAAAGATTTTGACCTAAAGTCGAAAATGTGGGCACACACGGCCAACAGGACACGGCAATTTACGCGCACAGTGTTCGCAGCTCTTTGCCAGTTCTTTCCGCTTATAGGATAGGCAATCGCTAACAATTTAGCATGCATAATAATCATTTGAAAAATGTTTTCAAGAAAAACAACTTATAACTCGCCAAGAAGTCGATCTCACGACCTTTTGCTTGTCGGGCCGGGCCGCTGCCACTGCACTATCGCGCTCCATAACTACGTCCAGAGAATCGTTTCGCCGATGAGAACAGATTCGAGATCAGTGTCCAAAGACACATCTAGTTATGTATGTGTCGTTACAAATAGCCACTTCGACCTGGTATCCTTCCCTTGTGAGGCATGCCCTTCGCTGCGAAGCGAGCATCGTCCCACACCCTAAGGGGCACCACCCGCCTTCCGATTACGTATATTTCATCTTCCGACCTTCAGCCTTGCCGTGGAATCCTCCTTTGAAGGCTGTGGTCACAATGGCTGGATAGGGTTCCGATGACATCATTGAAGGTCATTGGTCTTCTTCCTCTTCTTCTTCTCCCTAACGTTAGTCCCGCGCCGTCGCAGGGTCCGCTGTTCTTATCAGTCGTCGCCACTTCGCTCTGTCCAGAGCATCCTCTGCAGTGGCCATGATTTCGCTTAGGTCCTTCTTGACTGCGTCCTTCCACCTCTCCTCGCGCTTGCTTGCCTTGCGCTTCGAAGTCTATTGCATTCCTTATTGGGTGGCCTTGTGGTTCTTACACATGCCCATACCACCGCAGGTCGCTGCCTCCCGCACCTTCAGCTGAACAGGGCAGTCTGTCATGACCGTCTCTGACCATCGAGCGTCCTGACCCTGTCCAAGTCAGCGGTCAGCAGCAGGCCCAATCTCAGCATCCGTCTATTTCGGCCCGAGGTGAAGCTGCCTTTCGTCCGTTCGCGAGGGCCAGATAATCGCCAGCCGGTGGTAGGGCGATTCGCAGCGGGGGCCAGTTACCGACTGTTCGGTACACGTCCCTTTGAACGTTGTGGGCAGCCTCCGGTCGCAGAGGATTCCAGGGGTCCCTCCATTTCATCCATGCCGCGTTGATCCTTCCCTTTACTGCCTGGTCCACACTGGGCGTCGGGCCGCCAGATCACACTCCCAAGTATCGGAAGTCCTCCACTTGGTTTCGAGCTTCGCCATGTCCATCCACGATTGGCTCTTGTTTACTGCACTCTATCGGGAGGGCACTTCAGAACTGGGCGTCTTTCCTGCATTCTAGCCGGAGCCCCTTCTGCCAGAGCCTTCTGCACTTCTGCACCTTGGCCTGTAGTTCTTCTCTGCTAGCAGCTATCCAGCGGCGATGTCGCTCCAGCGTACCCGGAGGATTGGGTTTAGCTGGCCTTCCATTGAGCCACTTCTCACCATGACAATCTAGCTCGTTAGAGAGAAGAGCGACCGCCAACGGACTTCGGGCGACGCCCTGACCCTGAGTGCACCCCAACCGTGATGTATACCTCTTTTTTAACGCCGCCATGGTTGACCCTCACCGACACCCCTCTCCCCACCATGTCTACACCGCAAGACTCCCCTCCCGCCCCTCCCCTCTGCCCCCCCCCCCCCCGGCCAGCCTCCACCCGGTTACCAGCCCTACTCCCGCACCCCCGCCCACCCCCCGCCTACACACCACCCACTCCCTCCCGCCCTTCCCCCCTTTCCACCGAACCCCACGCCCCTCCAACCAGGTGGTCTCTGCGCACGATTTCGCCCGTGGTCTCCTAAAGCGCCTCCACAGTACCCGGCCTGCCGTCACACGTGGCTAGCCGGGTGGGAACGCGCTTCTCCAAGTCTGAGGAAGGCTACCCCCACTCCCCCCTCCCCCACCCCCCACCACCCCCCCCCGCACCGCCCCCAGCCGTAACACCGGCCGACGCCTTCTTCTCGAACTTCTCATCACTTGTCCTTGCGCGATGAAAGATGGCTGTCGTAGACACCTTTACGGGCTACTGAACACCGACACTGGTATCCTGGGAGACTGGGAACCAGCTCCCGCAGTCTCGAATCAGACCAGTCGCTCGTACAGCTTCATTTCTAGTGGCGAGTCAACTTGATCCCGCTAGGTAGGTTAGGAGCAGCCATCGCGTCACCTTTCTGCTTGAAAGATGGGAGGATAGTACTTGATCCCAGGCATCTGGTACTTTTCCTTCGCCATGTTTTATGTTTTGAGGAATCGTGGGAGCCGTTCTTATTCCCGTACTTCACCGAGCGCCTTTCCCAAGCCTCGATTGGCACCCATCTGGCCAACCGCCTCCCATCTTTCATCCTCCCAAGTGCCCACACCTAACCGCATCCTCAGTCCCAGAGTGCGATGGCGACACAGCTGTGGCCTTCCCGGCCACCCCACACCCCCACTACCCGCCACCCCCCCCAGTCCCACACACGCCACGTGAGTTTCTGTTTCGTGGGAAAACTTCCTTCGCAGAAGTTGCAGTAGTATCTTGCCACCTGCCCTTTGACGTTTCGGCTTGCTCCTTAGGAGAGCGACCGATGGCATGTCTGCTTTCACACGTTCACACCCTGATGTCGTGGGGTAGCACGGTGCGGGCCCTTAGCCAGCGCTGAAGACGAACTTCTCTGCGTTTCGGCTTCTCCAACCTGCCCGCTACAGGGCGTCCAGTCTTCTGGTTAGTTTTGTGCCCTTGCGACGGCAGGCCTTCGCAGAGCCTCTTGCAGGGTATGTGTAGGCAGGAAGTTTCTCGGGGACTTCCGGGCTCGTCTGCCAGCGTGGTTTGTATGCTCCTTCTTCCTCTTACGACTCTGCTGGACCTCCTTCGTTCCAGCAACGCGCGTGCCGTTGTCGTCCTCGTGAAGCCTACCTCGCGTCGCACCCAGGACCTCCTTTGGCAGCAAATTTCGCAGGATGGATCTCAGCCGCGTTGCCCAAGTCATTGTAACTGGGGCCCGGTTAGCGATCTGGGAGGATCGACTTCCATATCTTTGTCGCCTGAGGGTCACTGCTGGTGCTCCGCTTGGTGCAAGCGTCCACTCACTGGATTCTCCTGCAGTGCTCTTACCCCTTTGTGGTCTGGGGAGGTCTATCGCAAATCGTCTGCGAGGGAGAAGGGGCTCTGTGCTGGGCGGGAAGCCAGCGTCTTCCGGGTTAGAACTGTTGAATATCCTTCACAGTTTTCCGAGAGGGTCGTGATTTACTTCTCACCAGCAGATGTCATTTCCAGTCTGATCTGCCCTCCAGGTGCTGTAGGATTTCACCTTTTTGAGACTTCCTTTTCGCGTAAATCAACGTGCTGCAGTTACTGACCGAAAGTCGTGCGGCCCGTAGCCAGCGTCTCCAGAACACTATTCTCCCTCAGGCGTTCTTCGATACCTATCCCAGTCTACCGCCTGTGCACCTTCTAAGGACCGCTTACCTGACCTCCTCCACATCCGAGGTGGCCGAACGTTGCCCATTCCAAGATCCGCCACCACCCCCGCCTACTCCTACCCCACTCCCCCGTGCGGGTACATCGGCCTTCCCCGCGAAAACCGAAATCCTTATGAGCTCTCGTCCAGGCTTAGCACAGATATTCGGTCCTTACATCAACTTGCCACCCCGTGCGGCTTCGCGCCGGCGGTCGCGCGTAACGGGAGGAAGATCGGTCACCCTTATCGGAACCGCTATATGGACCTCGTCTAGTTTAGACAAAAGTCTGGTGCTTCTCATGCTCGGGAACCAGCTTGCGGTGCGTACACGGAGAGTATCGAAACCAGTACCCCTCCTTCTGTCGTCCATCTCGACGCAGCCATGATCCGGCATCGCGGATTCTGTTCAACAGCGAAGACCATAGTCATTGATCGACTCCTATCGACACCTTTCCCACATTTCCGCGCTATGCCAGAACTCCCATCGCGGTCTCCTGCAGGCCATAGGATGCCGATATTCCAGCGCGTCGGGGATTCCCAGTTAGAGATCCACGCTTACATACGTGCCTATTCGAATAGCTTCTTGCCGAGGCCGTTCACTTCCTATGGTAGCCCTCGGCATACCTGACATCAGAACATCTGGGGCGGGCAGGTGTCTGCGCGCACACTCCCGGCTGACGATCCTGCAATCCAACTGACCAGACTTAGTCCCCCGTCAACCGCCGCGGAACCTTCCTTTCCTGCGCAAGCTTTCTTATCCTTCCGCCATGGTCCCTTCCTCCTGTGACACAACACCCTCGGTGGAAATGACGCTACG